GCCCGTCCGCCCGCCGTTCGCTGCCCATCTGCCTCTCAGTCGCCCACCGCACGGCCGTGTCTTGCGCTCTCGTGAACCCGACCGCCTCCGGGCGTACGTAATATGCGCTGATCCCATCGCTTCCCCGCTGTCCATCACCCGCGCTATCTTCCCCGCCTCCACGGTCTCTCGCCTTCGCCGTGCCTTACAGCTCCTGCCCGTTGCTTTTTCCTCCTGCGCGCCGCACGCGGGGCGCCGCTTCCAATCAGTCGTCGCGCACGTTGCACGCCACCGGGAACATCTCCTGGCGCTCCCGCTGTACGTTCGCCCCCTCGCTTTCCTTCCCTCTCTCCCTCCCTTAATCAAGGTTGGACTCCACGCTGCCAGAAGGCGTGTTGAACTTGCTCTACGACTACCCGTATTCGAAATCGAGGCCGCCTTTCGTGGCGTTTGAGCTGCAGAGGAAGGTCTTCGTAGGATGGCCGGAAAGTTGGCACCCGGCCCACGACACGAAGGCGCTCGAGCAGCCGAGAGCAATCACAGTACACACATTCCGCGCACGCCGCCGCGTTTCCTTCACCTCGATCTAGCGCCACCTTCGTCACGTTGGTGGGGACGACGTGCAGCACCGCCGCGCCTCGCCCGTCAGGATCCGCGCGCGTTGTGGTTTCTCTCTGCAGCCCCACCGCAACCCATTTTGATCTACCAGTCTTCCCCTCTGAAGTCATCCCTGCCGCCACTAATCATTCTTCAAGTCGATGTACTCGTATTGTGTTCAAAGACATTACGCATCCCGCAATGAGAGTCCGCCGACCGGCACCGCCACTACGTATCCTTCTGGACCAGCAAGCGCCGTGACCTCTCTCAACAGCCGTTGGCACCCCATTCCACTCCGCCGCAACCGCCTTCTCTCCCTCTGAAGTCATCGCCGCCGCCGCCGCCGCCACCGCCGCCTTTCCTCTTGAGGCGTCCTTCGGACCGCGGTCAGAGCCCCGGCGCGGGCCGTTACCCCTCTTGTGACGTCATCGCACCGTACCGGCCTCCGCCTCCGCCGGCTCCGCCTCCTTGCAGTCGGGCCTCTGCGGTTTTCGGTCGTTGTGCCGACGTAGATGCCTGCACGGCACGGGATGCTATGCGACGTTTAGGCTAGCATTTTTTCACTGAAATGTTCTGAGGAATCCACACATATTTCATGAGCCAAATAGACGTTTAAAAAGTGAGAATTGTTATCGACTTTTGTTCGTTTCTTAATTTTTTTTCTGAATGCTTTGTCTGGTATATTTAGTTTTCGTTTTTCCTCAAAGCTTCTCCGTAACCGACACAGTGCTTCGAAGAGTGTGAAGTTTCATCAATATAAAAATATGACGGTAGTTCTTGAAAGAAAAATAAATTCAGCATTTGTTGATTGAATTAGAATTTTCTAAATAGTTGTGGCATAATGCGTTGATTGCAGCAATAATAGAATTGCAATTATTTGCATTTTCAATTAAGGCATTTTATGCTAATTAAAAAAGAAGTCATAAACCAGTTACATAAACGTTAATATAAAATTATTTTTATAAGTTTCCAGATGAGATATAATGAAACTATGAGCGTATCAAGAAACGCATCACTTTGGAGCACATCCTATTTTTGTACATTAGTTATATTCTATACTATTGTACAATGTTTGCTGTGTTCAAGACAACTTACACAATGCATTGATCTAAAAAATGTAAAAGTCTATTTTATCATATTTGGGTGATGTTTCACGATTTGGGACGTGTTAAAATGTTTTTTTTTAATTACTCGTTAGGTTTTTCAGTTTAAAATAGTTCCGTTGGGAGCGCAAGGACGCATGTCAGTTCACAGATTAGTCATGTGCTCAAACGCAGCTGTCCTAGTGTCCGCATTTCTTCTGGCGCTTCGAATAGATCGTGTGCGGAGCAAAGTACTCTTTGTTTGTAAACAGGATGAAATGGCGCCAGATGGATGTTTGGCCTACTTACTTAGTGCGTAATGAGCTATAGTCGAGGAAAGGTAGAAATCGTCTTGAATATTATCACTGAACGAATATTTGGAAATGCTTTGTTATCACTGAGATAATAAACAATATTTTTTTACTGTCAAACAGTCAACGTATTTTTCTTCGTAGTGCAGATAATAAATATAACGCACTAAAATCGTATTAGAAAAGCACTAATATGAATTAATGCTCCTCTTTTGTTATTCCGATCGCACATACGCCATGTTCAAACCTCTCTGTGAATTTCCACTCATGAAATATTTCTGTTCGATATTTACGAAGCACAATTGTGGTATTGCAACCGTACGTGTTGTGAGTGGAAAATCATTCGCAAAATAACTGTTGAGTTATTTTGGGAAACGATTGGACTCTAACCAAAAACCTTAATCTTCAAAGAGCTTCATTTACAAAGCCCCTGCGTCACTAGAGTCTATAAAAAGTTGTGTTTATTTACATTATCTTTAGTGAATCACGCAATTTGTAGTGTTTTCCTAGGTATTTCCTTTTCTTTGTTTTGAAAATAGATATAAATTGTATTATTTAAGAACCGACCCATGTCTGCAAGCCCGTAGTCTTGTATGATTGTTTTTCATTGCTCTTCATTAATAGCAAGACGTCATAATTCTATAAAAACCCGTCCGCACCTACGACAACAGAGCTAGTCTCTTCTATTACGACTACAGAACGAGCACCTGAAGACATAAATCGGCTTGTTCTGCCGAAAGCTTTGGTTGTTGGAACTAGGCACATTGTGACGCAAAGCGGGGGCGAACGGGCGAGCGAGTGCGCGGGGGAGAGAGCAGGCGGGAGAGCGGACGGGCAGTTTGAGTAATCAAACACCGGGGCGAGCGCGTGTGATTTATGGCGAGCGGCGAGGCGGGCGCCGCCGCCGAGGCCGCGCCGCGCTTGAGTGCCGTGGGTCGCCTCCCGCCCGCCCCAAACTGCGCCGCGGCAGGCAGCCCCCACGGCGCCGCGCCGCGCCTCGCTTGGCCGCAAGAGCGGCGAAGCCGCGTTCGGAGAACGCGTGGGATTCGAACAAACGGCGCCGACGCACGCGCTGCTCTTTGCCGCTCGCCTCCGCCCCCACCATCCCCACTGCCCCCATCGCCTCCACCACCCTTGCGCCCCCGACGCCCCCGCTGCTTCCGCCGCCTCCGCCTATCCCCAACGCCTCTACCGCCCTCACCGAACAGTCGTCGCAGGCGCTCCCACTACCACCGCCGCCCTCGCCACAGCCCTCAACCCCCGCAGGCATATCCGCTGCCTCCACCGCTCTCCACCGCCCCAATCACCCCCGACGCCCCTTGCAGAGGCTCATGTCATAACAGCTTTGTGTATACGATTTCTACCGCTGGGGCCTCGGTTTGATCCCCGGCCAACTCACGTGGAATTTGTGGTGGGCGAAGCGAGTTTTCTGCAGTTTTTCTCCGAATTGAGCTGTTTCCTCTACTTCTCATTCCACTACAACTCATTATAATTGTTATCGTTGACTAGTTACATCACTCAATCCGCGGACTCTGTCAGGCAGTTGGAGAGTCCGTAATCTCAAATAAATAAGTAAATAAAGTAAATCAATCAATCATTGATCTCTAAACATCAATAAATAAATATAGTACATAAACAGTAGGTTGGTAATATATATTACCCTTATAGGTCAAATTTACTTTAAGGATTTTTCGAGTAAATTCAGAAATTCAGAATCATCCCAAAGTGTTTCACTGCGTTGTGCATGGTAGGGGCCTGACATCACGCATGGTTCCATTCCACCTCTCCGTTTCAAAGCAGCTTGGAAAACGGCCGAGATTAAGTTCGTGAAATTCAGGTGTGGATCGCCCGAGTAATGCAACTATGTTCCGCAACCGTATTAAAGGTTTTAGTTGTGGCCCTTGAAGGGTTGTACGTTTGACACCCCTGTTTTAACACCATCAAGCGATGCCGTTTACCTGTAATGTGTTTCAACAACCATTGAACGCAATGCAATTTCCCGTAACTCTCTTTTTTTCATGCGACCCCAATCCTTCATTTATGTGAACCTCGTATGAGCAGCCACTGTCATACGCCGGCACCGCGTTTTACGGGCTTTTCTCAGCGCCCGCGCCCCGCGTCGCCGGTGCTGACGTCAGCCTGTTGACAGACGCACTAAGTTGAGCGTTGACTGAGCGCGAAGGTGCCCGCGGCCCACTCGGGGAAATCGGCCATCTCGCTCAGTTTTGCACGGTGTCCCGTGGGTGGTAGGTTCAGCTGGCGATCACGTCATGCATGTTGAACGTGCACGAACGTGTAATGGAACGATTGCAGAAATGAAAGGTTGGGAAATGTGTTTAGCTGAAGGTATTTCCACATTCAACACCCATCGAAAACCGTTTACGGCCTTTGCGATTTAACGCTGCGTTTGTAACCATCCTTTCACCTTGCAAGTTTGCAATTAGTTCAGGTGTGAGCATTGCGAAGGAAGTTCTGGTTACCTTCT